TTAATCTTTGTCTAAAATTTGATATATTTTTCCTTATATTTTTGAAAATTTATGGATTTTCTTTCGAGTTGTTAAGTTTTGTATGTTCTTAACTTTTTTTTATTTTCATAAAAAAATTGTTTTCATGAAAATAATTATAAAGTAACCCCAAATTGATAAATATTTATCAAAAAAATACAAATTTGTAGTTTTTAACATGCTTACGTATAGTTGGTTTATGTCACCATGTATTATATAATAGTCTGTATAGTTTAGAACATATTTCTATACTTGAGATGGTTTGCAACATATTAACCAATACTTCGTGTAGTTAAGAATAAATATTCTTTTTTTTGTTTAGTTTTCGGCTCCACATATCCTAATCTGCGGGTCAACCCGATCTTGTCCGACCTTGTAATTTTTTTTTGTCTCAAACTTGAAAATCATTACTAAAATTTGAAAATTTGCATTACAAGAGACTCGAGCCATTACCATAAAGATATAAAATTATATGAATATAGACTTAGCACCGTAGTAAAAAATACGATTGTTTTTTTTATAAACCGGTGGAGTTCCAAACTTCTGGCTCATAATTTTTTCGGTATCTAAAGTCAGTATTAAAATATAATGATTTAAAAAATAACTTTCTGTCCCAAAAATAGTTTGAATCCGGAGCACAAAAGAGACTAATCCTCTTATATTACTACTAGATCATCACACATTTACTAAAAAAAAATTGCTTTTGTTTCGTAGAGATTAAATGACAGAGATGAAATTGGATTCCCGTTAGAACATCCAAAATTCTTTAAAACCCATTTTTAAAATTAAACCATAAATTACTACAGATCCTTCAATCATACACGAAATCCATTCTTTAGGCATGATTTAAGCCACTAAATAGCCCATCTAAAGGCTTATGCTTTGCAGACGAGAATCGCCAGTCTTGTAATTTATGGACTCTCTCGGGCTATAAATGTTTTTTACCCAAATATCAAATGAGTATTGGTTACTAAGCTCATGGATTTACATATATATAAAAGTGGTTAACGCCACAAAATTTATACTTTAATTTTATCATTTACAAATATACTCATAATGTAAGACAATGTTATATCTAATATATGTGCCTGTATTTTTCTTATATAGAATAGTTTTGAAATATACTCATAATGTAAGACAATGTTATATATCTTGGGTGAAATTCCCAACAATCCAAAGTTCCTCCCCACTCGCTGTTATCA